TTGCCAACATGAGTATACCAGGACGTCTCAGGTAGCATAAAAATGTCAAATTTCAGAAAAAAGATTTGCGTAATAGTCTTGAAAACGATGAGTTCGTCGGTATCGGGACAAAATTGTCGCAAAACTGCAAAAAGACTTTCAAAATAGATCTTTATCTTGTCAACATTCTCTTATTAGCGCGCTTGCAATTTTTTTTAGTTGTGAATTTACAAAAGCTTTAATGTAGATTTTTCAAAATTTTGCCTTCCAGGAATTTTTTTTTCAAAACGTCCATTTCCCCCCTCAAAAGTCCAATGGATCGCCCCTAATTTTATTTTGCTTTACGCCACGCTATGCCGGACTCACATKGCGCAATGTAATTAGCAGATGTCAAGTCTTATCTGATTTCATAATTTCGCTACGAAAACAATAAAAAGTGAAACTGGAAGATAAGAAATCAGTGTGTACTTCATTTAGCGCGGGAAAAAAGGACTATCATGTCCAATCCAGGATGTTTTTTTTTTCAAAAAAGGTTCCAGACTTCGACTAGACTTTTCACTTCTTTGCTTTTACTATAAAAGTTTGAATACAACATGATAAAAATAATAGAAAAAACGGGTGTAGAGGAGTCCTTGCCATTTAACYCCAGTTTGAATGCAAAAAAAGGTTGAGATAAAAACGTAGAGTGCAGACTGCGCGAAAAAGAAACAAGTCAAAGATACCGAATTCAATACAATAGACTGCAAAAGCCGAAGATAGACTTACCAAATGTCGAGATGACGACAGTACAAAGCAATGCTAATCTTGACATGTCGATTTAAAGTCGTTTTTTCGTGTGCGTAAACCCTAAAAATTGTTAAAATGCTTTGAATGTTATAATTTTGTACTCTCGATAATAATAACCTGAAAATTAAATACATCACGCAGCCACCTACTTAACAAAATTGATCATGTTGATAGGTTAATTAAAATCCAAGCGTACTATTTTTACTTCAGTCATTTAACAGAGATTTCATCGAGTATGATAGAGCAGGGAAATATGGATGAAAAAGCGATGCAAGTTCTTCGTCACAAAACAATGAATGAAAACATCACTACAAAAATCACGTCAACTCGAATGAAATGGATTTAGTATACTAAGCTTACATTAGACTTAAAAATTCTGCATCAACTGAACTTTTCACAATTTTTCTGATAGTTACCGTTTAACCTCACTTACTATAACAGAAAAGACAAAAAAGCGAATCTGACTTACCGAAATTAAGTGCACCACGCGCAAAYTTGTTGTAAACAAACGCTGTCACACCTTCATTGACGAATCATTTCCGCGAAGTCCTGGTAAGAAGTGACCACGTGYAGGGGTGGAACCGGGGTGTCAATAGGGGCATTGGACTTAACCCYCTTCCTCTCGCACCCCTCAAGTCAAATGGAATCTACATCTCATTTTAGATTGAATCAAGATAACTGGAACGGAATAAGGTGCCAAGGAACAAGAGGGTGTGGTTAGCATCTCTTTCTCTTCTTTTCTGGAAAACTGGGAAAGGCACCTTTAGATAAGCAAGACTTCAATTTATAGCACTTAATATGGTTTCACTATCCCAGAAAGTCTGCTTGAGGTGCCAGTCAGTCCCTCATTTTACAATCACTGGAACCCCTGACTAATGCAGTGATTAACAGGTTTGTGTTCTCAGTTTGTGGGTAAAAGTTGAAAACCAGGAATTAGAAAATGTGATACATTGCATGGACTTTGAAATCCCATCCAGTTCTCAATCACTCCCTTGATAAACAATAAACAAGCCTTGTGATTCACCATCTTTCAATTTTATTTCATTTAAAAAAGACATTACAACAGTGTGATGTTCCATAGCCAGTCATGTCAGTCCTTTAATCAAAAGGATAGTCAAGGACAAGCTGAGTCTATATCAATTAACAAAAAAAAAATCTTAATTAAAGTCTCATGCATGTAAATAAAAAAATCTAAAATCAACATAAAAGTTCAACAATGCCAACACAAGTTTTTATTCTACATTACAGTGATTACACATGCTACATCTACACACAATACAGCTATTTACTCAAGGTGTTTGGTTCTTGTCTTTGAGACATGCCTTAAAATGTCCAGACACGCCCACTTAACTGCCCCCATTTCATTAYAATGAGGCTCAAGTCCATWTCCAGTCCAAAGTTTCAATTCTTGAATCTTGATGACAAGTCCATTCATATGTAGTATGAACACTTGTAGGTACACCTGGCCTCTTACATGAGGCCATGGSACCTCAGCATTCTGATAAAATCCATTCATAGCTTGTGACTTAATTCCTTGTCCAATGTGATCAATTATTCTAGAAGTACATATCCTTGTCGTGGCAGTTGATACAAACTGTGAAAGATGAAACCTCTGAAATTGTTTAGTAAAGAATAGAAGAGAAACGTCAAAATGTCACAAGAATTTAGATTGTAAGGATAGTAATTATGTCTACTTACCCATAGCTATACTTACCTCTCAATACTTTAGATAACAAAGGTAACGAGAAACTTTTATGTTTAGTAAAAATACTATTAACACTATGTTGTTWGAGTGAAATTGTAACAAAGACATCGCTATTCTAAAGGTTAATCAAATCAATCTACCAATTGTTAAAAAATGTTTCCCAATCTCTTAAAAAGCCTATTTTATTTGTTGCATATAAAAACCAASAGAATAACAATTTATTAAAGTACAAAAAGTCATGTTTTTCTTTTGTGATTTTCATTTCTAGAAAAATTGAAAGTAATATAATTTTGTAAAAGTTTCAATAGAATTTTTTGTAGATGATGAATTAACAGTAACATAACTATCTATATATTTTTGCTGGTAGAGTACTTAAAGCAACTGAAAAGTGCTAGCTAAATAATAAAATACAATAGCTATAATCAATAACTATTTCTAAGTTTCAAGCTTTGTAGAGTGCACGTCACATAAGCATGAAACAATTCTTAATATGTATTGCTAAATAAGATTAGTTATCAACTAACTAAGAATTCAACAAAGCATAAACACAATGCCAATTATTTAAATTCCTTTGTACCCTTGTTCTCAATTCTTAGTTAGTTGATAACTAATTCTTATTTAGCACTACATAGTTAAGAATTGTTTCATGCTTATGTGACTTGCACTCTACTATACACCTTATATATGAAATATAAAGAGAACAAGGCACTAAATAATGTTTGTTGCTTTGTCTAACCAATATTGTTTTAAGCGGTAATAGAGTTGTTTTCATTTGACTACAAAAGATTAGTGATTTTAAGTGCCAGTCAAATGAAAATGACTATTTATCTAAGTGTAGTGCTCCCCTCTAAGTTATTTGTTACTGTAATATAATATAATATKAAATTTTTCATTATCAAAATACAAAATGTACAAATGTTTTTTATATGTAATATMTACTTCCTATCAAAGAGAAAGAAAGTAATGTATTTGATTTTCTTGAAAAAGSAACTATTGCAGCATATGGTTGGGAAATTTCATTTGTTCAAAAAGTCAAAATGCACGCCTGGCAAATATTATCAATAAATTATATCACTGTTTAGTGTTTTGTAAGCTGGCATGAGTAAGGGCTAAAATAACATAATACCTGAATAAGTCTATCAATAATCAGACAGGTCATTAAAGTCAATGACAGCTGTCAAAATTTGATTACATCACTTTGAAAGACGTGATTGGCTAAGGAGTTTGTCATGTGACTGATGAACTGTCAATCATTTTCCCAATAAAGTGTTCAAGTATTCCTGTATGTCAAGGTCAATCTTGTCACATGATTGGATGATTTCCGATACTGACGACTGCTTACCGTGGACCATCTCAAACATGATGAACTGAAAGAAAAAGGCAGTAAGATTTCACAAAGTGGAAAAACAAATAAATGAATAAAAAGCTATTGATGAAAAAACAACAACAAATCATTGAAAAAGAGTGTAAAGTAACTCATTTTACAAAATGAGAAACAATGAAGTGCTTAATATCTGTTATGGATCTAAAATAATAGTTGTATTTATCATAGATAAAAATAAACTGTAGAGTCCAGAAGCTGAAGTCAAATTACATCTTTCCACAGGGTTGCAGCAAGAGGCAGCATGTTTGTAGACTGTTGGTATAACTTGAGAGCCTGACAACAAACAAATCATAATGCTTTACTCTGATTGGACACTTTGATGTCAATAAATCCTGACCACCCTCCCCCTAAGACACTACAGTGTCATAAAATAAAAGCTGTTTACCCAATCCAAAGTCTAATTAAATGAATAAATAAAATGCACCCTTTATGAACGATTGAATGGGAAATTGAATGGAAATGAATGAACATGGAGAATGCTGAGATGACAGACTAACCTCCTTGGTGTGATTTCTTTGTAAGTTCAATGAAATGATTCTGTAAATTAAAACACARTGGGACCAAAATGAAAGGGACGACGAAGGGCAGGGAATAATGRCATTAAGTGTAAATCAAAAGAGAAAGAGGGAGGGTGGGAAGATAGGGAATGAGAAAACAAATGAGAAAAGGGATGGGAAGAGAGATATGCAAAAGTTGATAAAAGAAATGAGTAAGAGAGGAAGTARAAGAAAAGTTTATATAATTAAGACAAAGCAATTGAATGTAATCTTAGCAGAGGGGACAAAATACCAAATAGAGAGAAAAAAGCAAAGAAAAGGTACTGAATATATTCTCAGAAAACAAAATRAAATAGATKCATGTGTACATTTTCCACATAGTRAGACACTTAGRGTTTTCTGCCAGAAACAAAGCAGCAATTTTCACAGCTTGATCAACACTTCCTGCCTTAACTTCATGCTCACAAGCCCTAGAYGTAAGCAAACASATCASTGTATATTACATGCTAATAACATATGGATTATTGAAGGTCATCATGGGATGGCTTGGGTAACAGKGATGGCAGAAGAGGGGAGGGGGAAATTAAGCCCTACTTTTTTYGCAAAAATGATTGATATTTAGTTTAAAMACTGCTCTGCCATTCCTAGGTAAGTATACATGTATATGATTTATAATAGATTCTCTGTTGTGGCTGGGACATCATTATCTGTACCTTATGGTTAGTTGAACATTGCCAGGATATGATTTCAGATACTTGCTGAAAACTGCTGACCAAAGGGACTGTGGGAGACACCCCAGGTACAGATTGATAACCTAAGAGATATAATTATAATATATGAATTGAAAAATAGACAATATTGAGTTACACTTTGATGTGGCATTGCTGTGTCTACAACTAGACTATGGTGACTGTATAGTGTTGTAATATGTAATTTTGTAGTAAAAAAAGTCATAATAAAAATTCTAAAAAAGACTCATYACCAACAGAAGTAAAACATTATAACCAACCTGATTGTGAAAGGTGTAGTCTTGCCATGATTCTGATGTAGAGAATGGTAGTGATCTGCTAGAAGTAACAGACACTAGACAACGTCCAATCAAATCATCCAGTGATCTAAGTTCTTGTTGTCCAACTTCACCCTGTAATAGTTTGGACTTCTTGAAGAACAAGTACTCTAACCACACAGACTGAGCATGCCTGGTGTTCAATATACTATGGACAGCTGTCTCGTAGGCTGAGTCTGCTGACAAGTTGTATTGAAGGCACAGAGGTGATATGGTGGGTGCAAGTTCAAGAAGCAAACTAAGAAAGAAAATGACAACAGTAAATAARAGAAACTGAAATAATGCAAAAAATAACATGATAAAAATTGCAGGAAATTGTCATTTAGTATTACTAGTATAGGAACATGTAGGAAGAAAACGAGATATCAAATGCTTGGAATTATTACACTTTTTAGTAGTTTTGGATCTGACTTTAACTATCCTACCAATATCATCACACCCAACACCACATTCCATCTCCCCTCATCACCATTATAAGAATAGCAGACACATTCTTAAAAACAATAGTCTCCTTCACAGGTCCCTGCACCATCTTGAAAGGTAGCCCAACCTTTGCATTGAAGCAAGATGACTGTTAAGTGTGCAATGATAGAAACCTC